TGTACAAATATGCAAAGCTTCAATACCATAAAGAAAATAGTTTATAAATATATACAACCCAAACAGTTTGTTAAAAATGCTTATCACAATCACCATTTCCTTACACATAAACCTGCATGTTCTTATAATGCCTATGGCATTGTAGAAATGGGCATTTTTTGACGTCTGGAGCTTCGAGTCTATATCTGTAAACTTATTTTTGATCGCCAAAGATAGATTTACCATGACATTAGCTATCAGGAAGTTGTAAAAGAATATTAAAAATCTATACAAAACAGTGCACAAAAATATGACTGCTTCTTCCTTCAAAATATACCAGTTCCAGACGGTTGAAAGTAATATCAAGGTAACACAGGTTCCAAAGTGCCCAAAATTGTTTTTCAAAATGTTTTCTTCTTTGTGCCCATCTGTATTTAAATTCGAATAACTTTCCATCAATGCCAGTCGTTGGAAAAGCTCTTCCCATAGTCTATATTTTGAAAATAAGACTGACATAATACTGAAAACGCCACAAATGCACACCATAATATCGGAAACACCAAAAAGACTTTTATATGTAATGAGAGCGAAGTTAGTCTTGAAATAGAGCGATAAAAAGAGACAGACATGTATTGCTAAAGCAATGGACACTGTGTATATAGTGTAGAACTTTGATTTGATCAACACCCTTTTTTGAAAATCGTATAAAGGGCCCAAGCCAAATAAATTTAAAACAAAAAGATGAGGTTTGAAAAATAAAACACACTTCCTACTATAGGAGAACATTGTTACTAACGTATTATAAATTACAACAATGTATACAGGAAATATATTTGGATAGATATTTTATTGATTAGTATATAATTAACTTTTATTTGAGTACTGTAATATCGTTAAATACTGCATTAAACTGTTAGATAAATTATAATCTTTATATTTCAAATTAAATTTTGTTGTTTGGAGTTAGACATCAGTTAAGTATAATTTTAACATTATGAAAATAGACTTATTGTTATTAGGATTTGTTATGTTAGTATATGACATAAATTAGGATTGATTGACGTAGTCAATTATTTTTGGTCACTTCCTGTTTCACCGGAAACGACTACAAATTTTAATTTTTAAATGGCACCCTCGGTATATTTCTACTTTATTCGATAGAGAATGACACTCTGAATAGAATAACATATCAGACTTGTTCTGGCGGGTTAAAAGATGCTCAAATCATATTTTTAATCAAAGCTAATTTAAAAAAAATGTTTAAAAAAACTTTTTTTACGAATAATTTGGTACCACACACTTGGTATTATACAGGGTGGTCCGAACTGTATTCCGGAAACTTCGGCAGCATATTCTGCAGATAAAAATAAGTAAAAAAGTCCGTATAAATGTATGTTCTAAAATGCTTAGTTTCAGAGATACAGGCTGTAGAAGTTTCATTTTTATTTCGATTTCGGACCACCCTGTATAATCAAATTGTCGTTATGAACCGCATGTTACAATTTCAAATACGCATATGGTTTATATGCGAAAATTTCAGAAATTGACATATGATATGTCATTCTATTCAAAATTCAAAGTGTCATTTTTTATCAAACAAAGTAGAAATATACCGAGGATACCATTTAAAAATCAAAAGTTCTAGTCTTTTCCGGTGAAACAGGAAGTGACCAAAAACAATCGAATACGTCAATCAATCCTAATTTATCTCATATACTAACATACCAAATCTCGCTTTTTTTTATCTAAAAAAAAAATAAAAAAAGTTATAGGTGCTTTGAGACGCTACTTTTGAGACGCACCCGGTGTAAGAATATTGTCTCTATTTTAGAAGTACATGAAAAGATAACTCTTAGAGTTAAAGCTCAATATTTTGCTCCATATTTCTATGAAATCATATTAGATATATTTTTTAAAAAAATCACAGTCCTTTACAAAGATGCAACCGGGGGGGCATTGAAAATGATGAATAAAAAACGTAAAAATATGATTAGTGGTAATATGAGTGTATTACATACATATGTTTAAATAACGAACTTAACAAAAAACAACAGATTTAAACATTCACTGAAAAAGTGTAGTAGTAAAGAAAAGTAGTTTAGAACTCGACCTAACCTAACCTAACCAAAGTCGAGATTTTGCAAAATTTCAAAAAAGATCTTTCGAAAATAATAAATAGTGAAATGACATTTACCCTCTATGGATAAAACCCTACCTATGGTCCCATATAAACTGTATTACTAAAATAAATAGCTTTTACATATAAAGTTTTTAATTGTCGCTTTTCTTGATATACTGCCCTGATTTTATTTTATTTTTCCAGAGCACTAATACTCTCTTTATATGTTATTTTTTATTCCTAGAAGGATGATTTGAAGAAGAAATATTTCGTTCATATTATTGATGTCACTATAAATAAACCCTTGTATAATATGTTATACTTCTAGATGTTATAGTAATGCATTTTCGTATAGCAAACTTACATACCCTATTCTACTCCCTAAGGGTATGAATTTCATAAATTCCTATGTCCAAATAATTAACTCATGTCTTTTAAATGATCCTTTGTGCAAATTTTTATGTGTATAATCCAGAGGTCACGAAGGTTTATATAATTTTTTACTAACTTTACCCTTTTGGTTCATGAATTTCAAAAATCTTTTCTTATTCTTTCTGTAGAATTTCATTCTTCTAGACCAGATAAGTAAATGATTTTCATACAACAAATCGTTCGACATAATTTTACACTCTAAGAGGATGAATTTTCTAAAATCGCTTTGCATAACTAATTCACTAATAATAAGTAATGTTCTTTGAACGAACCTTTGTGCTAATATTGATGTATCTAAAGCTGGTGGTATGAACTGACCCCTAAAATATCTAAAAACTTGATATATAATCTCTATAATCTAACTGACACACCACTGACAATGACAAATAATTGATTTCTGGAGGTATTTTGTGTAGGTGTTTTTCAGGTATGTTTTAATATTTATTCGTTTTACATAAAGAAATACCGATTAAACGATATAATAATACTTCATAACAAATCTAGACATATATACCTTTCATTTAAAAAAAGAATCATCAAGATTGGTGAGGCGGTTTCGGCGGGATGGATGTAACAAAAAAAACCTTTGAGCTTTTGTATATGTATCCCACTTCGGTGTCCAAAGCTGAATTTTTCAGGGAAGGAAGTACAAGTACATGATATGGGGACCCTTATTCCAAAAGTAATACAAAATTAGACCAGGAAAAAGGGCACTATAATCAAAAATCGATATATTAATACCACCGTATAGAGGAGAAAACAAATACTTATTTTTTGATCCAGTACAAAATAAAGTCTTCGTAGGGAGTAATTTTTTATAATTATTTAAAAATTGACTTTTTTAAATATAACTTTCATTTAACGAAAAACGAAGGCCTAAATAAAAAAAAGAAACAATTTATCAGTTTCGCTTATGTCTTGACAAGGTAACAAAGCAAACCCCATATTTTTTGCTTTTAAACTAATAAAGATATATCAATAAAAAATTAGCGATGTCCGACTGCCGCCGCCGCGCCGCGCCGAGATTTCCTATACGTATACGCGTGATGACGTCATGGTGTGGCAAATGTAGCATTTTAATTCGATTTGGGCTCCCTTATATAGGATAACAGAAACATTTTCAATGTTAATAGTTAAAAACTCTTCATTTTGAAGTTGTTGTTTATAAAAATTGTAGATTTAAAAACGTAGGCATATGTTTAGTTGCTTTATATTATGCCCCAAAAGATACTTGTTATACTCACCAATATAAAAGCACAGAGAAGCAGAAAAATGAACGCCTTTCCATCACCAATCATGAATTTCGAGGCCAATAAGACAGCACACATATGCAAAGTTTCTATGCCATAATGGAAATAGTTTATGAACATATACACGCCCAAGAGTTTATTAAAAATGCCTATAACAGTCACCATCTCCTTATATATCAGCCTGCACTTCCGTATTATGCCTATAGCATTGTAAAAATGGGCATTTTTTGAAGTCTTCAGCTTGGTATCTAGGTCTGTAAATTTATTTTTGATTGCCAACGAAGAGTTTACTATAACGTTAGCTATAGGAAAGTTGTAGAAGAATATCAAAAATCTGAACAGAACCGTACATAAAAAAATAGTGTTTCCCCCTTCCAAATGTAATAATTAGAGCATGTAAACAGTAACATCGCAATGAAACAGATCCCAAACTGCACAAAACTGTTTTTCAAAACATGTTTCTCTCTGTGCTGGGCTGTATTTAAGTTAGAATAACCATCCAAGACTGCCAGTCGTTGAAAAAATTTCTCCTACAGTCCAGGTTTGGAAAATAAAACCGACATAATGCTCAAAACTCTCGAGATACCTACCAAGAGGTCTAAAATATTGAGAAAGTTTTTGTATATAGGTATAGCTAGTGTATATTTGTAGTAAAGTGATGCTGATAGACAAGCATATATTGCTAAAGCCATAGACACTTTGTATATAGTGTAAAACACGGTTTTTTTCAATTTTCTTCTTTCAAAATCGTACAAAGGACCTATGCCAAAACAATTTAACACTAAAATATGAGGTCTGAAAAACAAAATACACTTTCTGCTGTAACCAAACATTCTAACTGAAGAAGTATACAGAACAGGTGTTAATTTACATAATTGTTTTATTCATTAGGGGTGTTAATATGCTTGTTCTTTCTATTTTTGTTTGAATAAAGTACTTAAATTTTGTACAAGTTCATATCAAATAAACTTACATTAAGATCATTACTAAATTTTGGTTATTTTAATTTAGGAATGAACAAAAATTCTGATTATGTGGTACCGTTCTTCGGGTACTCCCCATTTCTAACAAAACCTGTACAACCAAGTTCATCTCTTCGTTTAAGTGCTTTGACTCCCTCCACTATCAATTTCAACAACTGCAAAAATGGATCTAAACAGGAAAAATGCAAATAAAACCAAAAATGACTAAGAAAGATGAGACTAATGACCAAGTTTTGCTATATAAACACAAACAAAGGTGTTTTTCAGACAGTACTCCGACAAGAATTCTTTGTGAATATCAGTAATTTTATTTATTTTTTTCTTTATATTTGCGTGAATTTGTTGATTGATTAATCCGATAATAATGATCAAAGTAAGTTTGATAAAAAATTAAATTTCGATTTGTTAAAAATTTATTTTTTCGTATTTGATCAAGTAATCCCATTTTGTAAACAAAATTAATTTACCTACACTGAAAAAACAATATAATGTATATAAAATAGCGTAATAATGTTTATTTTTTATATTATTTTTTAGGAAATCATTATTTTCAGTATAATCTGCTTGGTTTTCTACCGTTCTGTTGCTGCAGAGGACCCTAAACAAAAAGTACCAGCTCAGGAAGTACTGCTGGCTACTTCAGAAGATGTAGGATCAGGAGATGAGCCAGACTTAGTTCCTGAAGCGTCTGCTTGGGGGGTGTACAATAACTGGGGTGGCAGAAGGTAATAAAATTTTTGTCCAAGATGTACCTTATTATACCAGGTGTTCATTTTACAGCACAGAAAGTTATTTTCTATTAAAATAAATTAAAAAAATACTGGAGGTACCAAAAAATTAAAAGTAGTATCTATATACCGGGTGCGTCTCAAAAGTGTCTCACTCCTATAACTTTTTTTTATTTTTTCTTAAACTTTTTTAAATTAAAACTTAATTTTTTTTTCTTTTTTTCTTCTTTCATTAAAAAAACGAGATTTGGTATGTTAGTATATGACATAAGTGAAGATTGATTGACATATCCCATTGCGTTTGGTTATTTAATGTTTCACACCGGCAAGCATTTTGTGACGAATAATTGGGTACCGCACACTTGTTATTTCGAGTCAAATTATGATTATGAACCGCATGTTATAATTTCAAATAAACCGTATGCGAAAATGTCAAAAGTTGACATATGATATGTCAATCTATTCAGAGAGTTATTTTCTATCGAATAAAGTAAAAAAAATACTGAGGGTGCCATTTAAAAATCAAAAGTTGTAGTAATTTCTGGTAAAACATGAAGTAACTAAAAACAAATGAATACGTCAATCAATCCGAATTTATGTCATATACTAACCAAATCTCGTTTTTTTATGTGAAAAAATGGAAAAGTTATAGATGTGAGCTACTTTTCAGACACACCCGGTATAGTCTGTCCATTATAAAAATATTATGTCAATAACATTCGTTACCTGTCAAATTTATTCAAAAATATTTTTTATTTTAATTTTTTTAAATTCAATTTTTATAGACTAAAAACTTTATTAAAATAATTTTTTTTTTCAGATACGGCTATGGAAAGGGTTGGGGAAGTTGGGGTGGGCGTGGTTACGGTTGGGGAGGGGGTTGGGGATATGGAGGGGGCTGGAAAAGAAGGGGGTACTACTGGGGATAAACCAACAAATCGAATTTTGATATTTTTGTGATGAAATGGAACCTAAAGGAGGCAGAAAACTAATAATTTTGTATTTTGGTCAGTATTAAATTAACAATTGTGAATTTATTTTTATAAAATAAAAGCAGTTTTTATTGTAAGGTGTTTTTTTTATACAACCCATACAGTGCGTTCGAGTTTATTCGAATACACATGGATAATAATATTATTAAAATTTTTATTAAATAAGTGTTTTTTCCAAATGAAAAAAAAATATTATCGTTATTCAACCATTTCCAAGTATGGTGTAGCTTCCCTGACAAGATGGCTTTTAGGTTAAAAATGATGCATTAAAATGATTTTTAGGGCCATTTCCTTCTTTATTAAGTTATATAAAATTCCCCTAATCTATAAATAAATCTTTTGGGAAAAAATTACATCAGACAATATATAAATTACTGTTCCTTGAAACAAATATCAACAATTAAAACGTTTAGTGAAATTAGTTTTTGAACTGGCAATAGCGAAAACGTGATTCCCCTTATCGTCTGCAAGCAGTATATAAATGTGAACTAGGTTCGATTGGTATGTTATTGTTATTACATCTTACTCATTAACATATGCATATATAGTACATATTATCGACAAAACCAAGATGAAATTTTTGGTAAGTCATTTTTAATATATTTTTTTTAAATATAACATACAGGGTGACACTTTTATAATTCCAGTGGTACAGAGGTAATTTTATTTCTACTGAGTTTAGTATATTTTGTCCCATTTTAAAACGACACAACGGTATATCTACCGGAAAATTACCAAATTAAAATTTGACTCAAAAAGTTGTACAGGGCGAGACAAAATTAATATTGAACAACGGTCACTTTTAAAAGCAAGTTACTCCTTTATTTTAAATGGAACACCCAGTCTATTATTCCGATATTCAATGGAGAATTCATATATCTTCAAAATCAATGACTAAAGAATGCAAGGACATATACGGGCTGCAGCAGAATTTGTGACCTTAGACGCCATTTTTTAGGACATAACGAATGAGTCATCAGCTGGTTATCAGCGACAATTTTAGCGATTTTTAATAGTTGGTTGTGTGCAGTGAACTTTGTATAAACTTTATTACAATGGTAATTTGTTTAGCTTTCAAGTGTAAAAAGCGCAATGATAAGAAAGAGCCAGGAGTTACGTTTTATAGGGAAATAAACCTTTTTAGCGTTTTTTTTTATTGAATTCGATAATTATTTTTCTCATATTTTTAGTTGAAATGTGCTATACGTCGATACTAGTTTTGTACCTTTTGTTAACATTTTAATACGTGTTTTTCGTAATTAATTAGTATGATACCACCAGATACACCATAGGCGTAGTGGAAACATTTATGAAAAATATAAATATCGCTACAAGCGGCTATGTTAAGAAAAACACGAGGAAAAATATGTGCCACGGCACTGTTTGGAAGAATGGTCACAGTTTGGCCAGAGTAAATAAACCGACGAGTAGCGACAGTCCGGTTTTCAATTTTCTTTGCGGCTGCGCGAAATAAGTAGGCTATCTGTCATATGAAGAAGCGAAGTTGCCACTGTTGCCATTTATCAAATATCTCTATATACTCTATTTCTAGTATGCCTCACGCAACGAATCATTCTTTTAATTATTTATTAGCTGTAAGATATTTTATACATTCAAATTTAGAAATAGGGATTAAACAAAACAAAGAAAATTTGGTCCCACCGCATCAAAAGAATATCGCTACTGGTATGGTCTCGTGTGCTATTTGTCTTTGTATTCTTTAGTCATTGTTCAAAATTAGTAGTGGGAGCTATCGAATGAATACTATCGAAACATTCGATAGTTGCAATTCATTCGAATAATTCGATATTTAGTAAGAAAACATTCGTTGAAAACTATTCGAATAAAAATTATCGAATAGATGCGTCATCTGCCTTGAAATATTGTATTCTAATAATTCGGCAGCAAAAACCATTCATTTATAAAATTCATTCATTTATGAAATTCATTTATTCGTCAGGATCGATTATAATAAAATATTAACTGGATTTTAGTTGTCGCCCGGCGACGTAGGTTTCTTTCCGACAAACCCGACAGCGGTCGGTGGCATTGCTATGCAAGAAGTATCTTTGATTTTTTGCGGAGTCATATAAAGATAAGGACACATTATTTTTTTTATTGAGGTGCTAGTATTTACACAGAAAATATATTATGAAGGGCGCTGTTGCCATATATTGGTATTAGTTGATATTAGCAAAGAATATTATTGTTTGGCTTTAGTTAGTTAGGGATAGTATGTCTATATATATTTTACATTTTTTTTAGTAATATTCTGTTGTTACACTGCAATAATACTTGTTATTTTGGATGTAGGAAAATGATTTTTAATGTTTTTAAGCAAAGACTGGTTTAATAAAAATAATAATAACAGTAATAATTTGTTATACCTATTAACAACAAAATTTAAAATAATTTAATATAAACATTATTTTACGTAGTAGCAAAAATTTAATTTTCTCACCCCATAGTTTGAGTTCGATAACCATTTACTTAACCACATTACTTAAATATGATTATTAAGTTCAACTAATTCATATTATTAAAACATCTAAAATACAAATATGTATTTTTAAAATTAATTCTAAGTTCATCTCATCCCTCTTAAAAATTGCTACTTCTCAAAATTTCCCATTAAAAAATAGACCATATAGATATACCATATAAAATATAATTGAAAGATCGGGCTACGGAAAGTCACACAAATTTTCGGAAAAATTTTGACACCTGCACACGCACACAATCGTCAATTAAAAAAAACTACTATTTTAGTATTTTAAATATTTTATAGGACAGTATTTATAAGGTGAAATTATAAAAATTTGGAAGAACTAATAATGCACTGACGCACACAAAAATCAAGCGAATACTAAATTTCATTTATCAAAAGCATTCGATAGTCGCGGCTCAACGATAACCATTTAGTCGCACGACGAGGTTGTCACATATGCTTTAGTATACAAATGAATGAATGATTTTATTCGAATAAAACCATTCGATAGTTGAAATCATTCATTCAGTAACCATTCGATAGTTTAATTCATTCGATAGTTCCCATCGCTAGTGTAAACGGCTGTGCGCGCACACTCACTATGAACCTGTCCGTGCGCGAGCAGCCGCGAACGCGAGCCGTCTGATGTTGGTTTCTGGTCGGTGCTCAAAGGGATTTTATGTGTTCGCGAACGCTCAGTTTGCACAAGCAATTCGTTTCACGTACGTGCGTACCTTCACCAACACTACTCTGCTGTTCGCGCACAAGTAGATCACTTAATTCGTCGAAAAATAAGTTTTTAATTTAACCGGAGCCGACAGCGCGAACGAATGCCGTTCGCGTACGCTCAGCTCGTGCGTGCTCAAGCCTAAACGCACCTTTACGTGAGGAACGTCTCCATGAGAGATGGCACATGTTTTTTGAAACACCCTGTTTATATTTCAGGTGTTCTTCTTTATAGTCCTGTTGGCAATCCAGGGCATCTTCGCTAGTGCTTCCAGGGATAGTCCCAGTAGTGGGGGTTCAGGAGGCAGCAGCGGCGCAAATGGGGGCAGAGGGGGGTCCAGCGGTAACAGAGGAGGCCCTAATAATGGGGGCCACGGAGCTGGTGATCGCGGTGGAAACTCACGGATAGCTTAGACGATTTATGTGATTTTTTCTGAATGTAATTCATTTTATACAGAATTTTTGATGATTTAATAAATAAATTAATTATTGTATTATGATACATATTTTTTTTTTTCATTTTTAGAGTTTATTTTTATTTTCGACTTGCTATTTACTGTTAGAAAAATGTGATAACTGTCTGAAGCAACTGAATTTTACAGGAAATATACAGAGTGAGCCTTAAATGAGTGCAAATATTTTTTGAAAAAGTTTTTATTTTTTTTAAATTTTTAGTTAAAAAAACATAATATCTTCATAATATGGCGACATAGATAGTAAATTAAATTTACAAAAAAGAAAACCTAGAAAAGATCCAGTGGTTCTCAAAATTTAACCGAAAAATATATTTTTTTAATATTCAAAGTAAAATATTTCGGTTTTTAAATACATAGCTAACATACAATGTATACTAATCCATGATACTAATTGTTTAATTTTCTTTAATAAAACTAAAATAACTATACACAAAGCCTTTTTCTATTCATTATCCTGAACCTCCAGGGACTCCAAACGTTATGAATCCTTTGCCACCAAATTTTTTTCTTTGGTATGATGGACTTGAATCTTCCCAACTTGTCCATGATCTATGTAAAGGACTGTATCCCCAAGGTTTACAGCATATTTCTACCAGCAATGCCATAAAGAAAAACAGAAGAAATATATTTAGATTCATCTAGAAAAAACAAAAAATAAAATAAAAAAATAATAATAAAACAAAAACAAAAGTAAAAAAATTATCTAAAGAAAATTTACCTACCTTGAATAATCTGTTATTGAGTACAAAAAAATGCCTCAAATATTGTATGATCAAAAAAAAAACGGCGTCATAGAGACGGCTTGGGAATGACAATCAATGTTAATTTTGTTGAGGTCAATCTCTATATAAAAATTGGCATAAAACTAAAAATTAACACTAAAAAGAAAGATAAAAAAATAGAACGTTCCCAGACACACATATCTATTTCTAAAAAATAAAAAAGTCTGGAGCTTGACCTCACCAAAATTATCATCGATTATCATGCCTAGCCATCTTTGACACCCTTTTTTTTGTAATATAATCAAATTTTTTTTTTTCGATATTCTGGTATATAAATATTAAACTGAAATTATTTTGATTTTTTTGAATTTTAATTGTGAATTTTAAACAATATTGCATTAATTATTATTAATATTTATAATGCTTACCTTTTAAATTATGTCGTTTCATTTAAGGACATAAAAAATAACAATGAATATGTCGAAATCTGACATTATACTAAAGATTTTGTAGTAAATATTTCTATGTAGTTTAAGGATGTTAGGTTTCCTTGAGATTTGTTAATTAATTGAATACATAAATAGAATTCACTTATATCTTATATCTATCAAATTCTACAGAAAATTTAAAAAAAGAATTGATATTTGATTTTTTTCTATTTTCGTAACCCTAGTGTCTTTCTCTAAGAATTGCGAGACCCTATCGTTGGTGGGGAAGCTTTTTTTCTCCGGCATTTGGCTGTTAGGTTAGGTTGCATATTGATTTTAGTCATTTTACTGACTTAACTTGCAAATCATCATGATTTAAATCAATAGTATATATAGACTCTAGTCATAAGAACGACTTAAATAACGTTATATAAATTTAAGTCTTTAGAAAAATGACTTGACTTGAAATAAAATGAGTTAAGTCAAAGACTTACGTCTTTTTCGAACTGACTTGTTCTAGCTCTGCTTGCTAGTAATCTTTCTAACAAAAAAATAAACAAAACTAGATTACCTATCTATATTTTGTAACGTCTATGAACTAACTAGATCCAATAAAACAATACATAATAAATTTAAAAAAAAAATCAAAATCTTGGAATTTCATACTGATTAAAATAAAGTCATTATTTTATAATAAAAAATAGATAAAAAACGTCATTTTGCGTTTTACCAAACTCATCATTCTTGTTATTATTTTATTGTTATTGTCATTATTTTTTAATTGGCTTTTTTTAAAATGACCTGTTTCTTCGAAACTGTTCCAAACGAATAATTTTCGAGAAATATATAAAAGCGGATCAAGAAGGCTGGTCAAGATTAAACCATTTTCTGCATTGATAACAACGGTGCATTTGTTTTTATTTGATTAAACAATCAAGATGAAATTATTGGTAAGAAATTATAATTTATTTGATTTTTATGTTCTCTTTAATCTTCTGATCACACTAAAATAGCCTATATTAATTGATTTATATAGTGCGAGTCAAAACTCTACACTAAACTGCGATTGAAACACTCTGTATTCAAGTTTATTTTTGTTCTTTTTTCGTTACTTCTTATATTCAAAAGTGATATTTATTGGGTCATTTTTAGGTTATTCTTTTTTATAAGAAATATTTACAAGCTTAAATTAAGTATGAACTTTAAATGGTCTGATATGGTAGTTTTTTGAAACGTTAAAATCAGTCTGTAGGTATTATACAGAACGACCTCGGATTGTCTTTACAATAGAAAAAACGGTTTTATTATTGATATTTGAAGAAGAATACATTCTTTGTAAAAAATATTGCTTCTTCCAAAATGGTTATTCCGTTTATATTTTTCCTAATGTTTATACCTCTTACAATGTATATTTAATTTTTCAATAAATACTGTATTATCGAAAAAAAGCGCGTCAAAGACGGCTAGGAAATGACAATCGGTGAAAATGTTGGCGAGGTCAAGGACAGAACCTCTCTACACACAATCGATTTCCAAAAAAAAATTTTGGAATTTTAAACTACACATTTAAAAATCATTTTTACTCGTTCATTTTTCACACTTTATTTTATGCCGGATGCGCTGGGATATATAAAATTCCCTAATAATTTATTAATAATATTTTTTAATTTATCAGAAGTATTTTTTATAAAAAAAAATTAAATTACTATGTGAATACACTGAAAAAATTCGGACAAAACCAACCTTATACAGGGTGAGTTTCCTACGATGTTCTCTATGGGTATCTCGGAAACTACTGGAGATAGAGAGTCAGTTAAATGGGGAAAGAATTGCAGTTTTGTGGGGTTATAAATCATATACGTATTACTTTTTACAAATATACTCAGGGTTCCCTATTTAACCCCGTGTGCAATTTCTGTGCCGTAAGAAAAAGACAACATAACCCAGCTCCATATTAAAACTGCATAAGTCTATTTCACCCGGATATGGATTGAACTGCGATTGCGCCAAACACCGATTGATTGTTGTTTTAGTTCTGTTTGGATTACTTTTTATTTGTGCGTGTAAAAGAGTGACTTTGTTTAGTTTATTGTTTCCAACTATTTTTTGATATTTTTCCAACTCCATGATAATGTGTTATAAATAATAAAAATATAAATAAAATTGAAGGTTAGGGGAAATGTCAGTCAACCACTTCCCTTTAAAAACATCGACCAATGAAAACTTCTTCAGGTGAGGCATGCTCAGTTAAATGAATGTTTTCATCGAAAAATTATCGAGTTATAGCCAATTCTTATCATTTTTAAATAATTTCACTTAGTTAGCCATGGAAACAATCGTCTTTGCTCTTATAAATGTGAAGCTGCCACATCCAAACTTTGAAAATTAAAATAAACAAAAATTGTAAATATGAATTTTTTAAATGAAGAAAAGCGTGTAAGATTATTGATTCAACTTTTCTTAATCATACATTTTCGAGAATACGTTGACCGGTGAATGTTATGTTTTTTAGAGAACGATTTTCAAGACATGTTAGAAAAGTTAAATTGAGTTATAGCCAATTCTTATTTCTCTTGACTAATTTCACTTAGATTGCATGGCATTTTTATTCTTTTGTGATTTATAACTTATAAAAAGTCAGAATATATTACTAAACGGTTCTTTAGAATTTACATTACACAAACTAAAACTTAAAAAAATAATATCGCTGCAGTCGAGTCACGGCATACACTAAGTTATTTTAGAAAAAAAATTCCATTGTTTTGAGTTACATCTTTTTAAAACTGAATTATTACCTATTCACACAAAAGGACCGGTTGATTTAATTAAACTTCTCTCGTACCGCCACTTCGAGTGCCTCTCGTAATTCATAAGTTCTTTTGTTAACCTTTTTTTTAACCATACCGCATAAAAAAATATCTAAAATGGATAGGTCAGGTGATCGAGGAGGCCCATGCAATTAGTCCACCTCTTCCTATCCCTGGGTTTATATTATTATGATATCAATAATTTTTAACATTTCTTTCATTATGCGGGGGGGGGGGGCATAATGAAAGTCATTTTGGAAACTCTATTGATGCGCGACTATCTACACGCTTTTCTTCATTTGAGAAATTCATATTTACAATTTTTGTTTATTTTAATTTAAAAAGTTTGAATGTGACAGCTTCACATTTCTGAGAGTAACGGCGATTGAACTTGTTTCCATGGCTAACTAAGTGAAAGTGTTTAAAAATGATAAGAATTGGCTATAACTCAGTAATTTTTCGAAGAAAACATATTATAGCTTATATCGCTAAAAACTTAAAAAATGCCGCTTTTTATGAAGTTATGGCCAACTATGGTTTCCATTTAAAAAAACATATGTTTGTGTGATATGTCAAAAATGACAATGAAATGAAAAAAACAGAGGACAGGATCTCATTAAGGATATGATTATCTACAACTTTTATCTGAAAACTTTTTGTCTAAAATAGCTTATAATGGAATTAGGGACAATTTTTAAAATAGCCGAAATTTGTTTTTTTCAAAATATCTAGTAAGCCATGAACTTTTTCATAAATCTGAAAGGCGCATATTTATGACCCCACAAAACTGCAATTCTTTAACCGACTAATCAATTTAACCGACTCTCTATCTCCATATATATATACCCATAGAGAACATCGTAGGAAACTCACCCTGTCTTTTTTTTGAGTGCATAAACTATGTTCTCTAGAAAAAGAAATACAGGGTGAGTCTTAAATAAGTGCAAATATTTTCAGGGCTGCTAGATCTCGATAAAAGAAACATATTTTCTCTTTGCCGTTTTTCAGATAAGTCCAAAATAATCGAGTTATGTTATTTCGAAAATAAAAAAAAAATATATTTTTTGTTTTAATTTTTGAGAACCACTAGACATGGATGGGATTTTCTTTCTCAATAAAATATTCTAAGTAAATTTAACTAACTAACGTTCCATATTATCAAGATATTATATTTTTAACTAAAAATATAAAACATTTCCAGGTTTTTTTCAAAAAAATTTAAAAATTAAAAAAAAAATCTTTCGCGAAAAAACCTCAAAAATATTTACACTTATTTGAGACCCACCCTGTATAGTTTTATCACAGATAACATAGTATTCTATGTATTATCTGTGGTTTCATAATAAAAACTAGTCCAAAAATTTTCATATATATTTTTTTTAGAATTTTGTTTTCTTCATTTTTGTCATCTTCCAAGCCACCATGTTGACTCTGGCTGATCATGGAGGTCACGAAGGGGGTCATGGAGGTCACGGAGGTCAAGGAGGGGGACACCATGATGGGGGTCATGGAGGACATGGAGGTGGACACAATGCCGGTGGACATGGACATGGACATTAAAAAAAATCCAAAAAAACTGATTTTTGAAAATTTATTGTTGACATGATTGTTTATTATATAGAAAATTTAATTTTAATTTGTTTTGTCGGTAATGTTGTTAATAAAAATGTATCCCTTTAAAACATCCTCTGTTTATTTACTTATTTATTTATTTACTTCATTATGAAACTACTCACACCCCTCTAAGATTCTTTATCACTAAAAAAAGGAATTATTATTCAACCATTTCCAGTTATGATGTATAGGCTCCCTCAGGGGCGGATACAGGAATTTATTTTAGGGGGGGGGGCCGGAATATATTTTAGGGAGGGCCCATATAAAAAACAATGTAGAATATGCTTTTTAGAGCGCAATTTTTAACCCAAAAGCGTAATATTAAAACCCAATTTATAGATTTTAGGGGGGGGGGGGCTGCGCCTCATGGTCCCCCCTCTTTATCCGCCACTGGGCTCCCTCGCATATTTATATACCTACTCTCTTTGTAGTTGGGCCCATTGTTGTCTATTGTTGGTTATGCAGGTATTTGCAGTTATCGTCAAAATTATCATCGGTTGCCATTCCCCAGCGGTCTTTGACGGCGTTTTTTTTTCGATCATACCGTATATATTTTCATATTTTAACAACTTTAGCAAATATTTCTTTAATATGTATAATATATAAATAAATACTTCTTTTAATTCTCCAAAATAATCTATACTAATATAATTGACTGGCATACTGATTAATCACTATCCTGCTCAAACCACTCAACGTAAGAAGCTCAATTTTGGCATACAAGTTGATTCTAGGGTGTAGAGGTTCGATAAGAAGGGATTTTTCGAAATTCCAGTTCCAAGAGGGTGAAACCACCCCTCAAATATTACAATATTTTTTTATTTAAAAAACGGTCAAGTTTCGGAAAAAACGCTTAAACACGTATATTTTATTTTGTTTTTTTACATATTTTAAGATTTTTTAAAAATGTATACAGGGTGTTTCGAAAAATCTGGTCATCGATTAATCACGATTCTGCTTAAACTGCTTGACGTTTAAAGCTGATTTTTGGCAAACGGATTGACTGTGGGGTGTAGAGGTTCGATAAGGAGGAGTTTCTCGAATCTCAAATTCAAAGAGGGTGAAAACGCCCCTGAAATATTACAATATTTGTTATTTAAAAACGGTTAGTCTTTCGGGAAAACGATTGGACAAGCATAATTTATTTGCATTAGCGTAACTAGCATTTTGACAAGCATAATTTATTTGTATTAGCGTAACTAGCATTTCATTCTATGGGGGGCCTGCGGTTGAACCCTAGGTCTTTTGTTCTTTAAAAAATGAAGAATATTAAAAAACTCATTTTTTGAATAAAACGTTTTACATGAATTTCTCTATCAATAAATTTCATAGACTTGGTTATCAAACCGTGTTCCTTAAAAGATTACTTAAATACCTTCAAATTTTCTAAAAAAATAAAAATTACCACATTTTTTGAACACCAAAACAATAATTTTAACTAAACAAAACTAGCACAAGTAAATAAAAATTAATACGTAGCCAAGATTAGTAATTCAAGATTTCCCTGGGGGGTGCCCAGCAGTACACGGGGTGGGGGACACCACTGTAGTTACGCCAATGTTTATTTGGTTTTTTTTGCATATTTTGAAATTTTTTAAAAAATCATACAGGGTGTTCCCAAAAGCTGGGTAATTTCTTAACCACGATTTTGCTTAAACTACTTGACGTAAAAAGCTTATTTTTGGCAAACGGATTTTTCGAAAGTCAAATTCCAACGAGATGAAACTACCCCTCAAATATTACCAAGTTATATAATAATATCGCCATATTGTTTTTTCTCTTGCTGACATAAATGTGAGAAAAATTTATCCAGTTTGTATGTTAATGGAAATTCTTGCTTTGCTTTATCATCACCATTACAAATGATTAATTCGACGCGAACGAAGTCGCTGGTACACGCTAGTACGAGCCCTAACAACTATAGGTTGGGACAAGGTCTTTTTTTGCAATAAAAATAGTAATTTGTTAAAACGACTCAATTTATTTTGTTTATTATTCTAAATTCAAACATTACAATATGATCTAGACAATTTTACTATATTTTTATAACTTTGCAAACAAATCACTTTTAATAATACCTTATTTTACCAAAATCAAGCCAAATTTGCTGACAACTATATATTGGGACAGCACAACAAGAAATTTGTTTAATACGGAGTTACATCACCTTTCGCCTTAACAACTGCCTGAACTCTTAATGGCATTGTATTTACCAAAGATTGGCACATTTGAGGAGAAAAATTATCCCAAATTTCCTGCAGTTTTGTCCGCAAATCAAAAATTGTTCGTTGAGGGTGGTTTCTTAAATATTGCTTCATTTTATGCAACACAGTTTCTATAACATTGAGGTCCGGACTACTTGCAGGATAGGATAGAACTTTAATATTATTATTACCGAACCAATTATTAGTTGATTTTGCTGAATGGCTCGATGCTCCATCTTGTTGAAAAATATAGTCTTCGTTTGGAAACAATTCTTGAGCACTAGGCAAAAGTGAGGTCTCAAGTATATGTTGATATTTTTGGGCGTTAAAAGTGCCATCTATAAAATTTAATTTGCCCAAACCTCTTGCTGACATGCAACCCCAAACCATAATCCGCTTAGGAAATTTAACAACCCTCTTTAAGCAATCTTTATGAAAGGCTTCTGCTTTATTTCGTATTATTCTTTTTCGATGATCTCCAACGCAAACATCAAACTTAGACTCATCGCTAAATATGACCTTATTCCAATCATTTTGTGTCCACGATAATTTAGATTTTGCCCAATTGTAGCGATTTTTCTTTTGAATTTCTGTCAGTAGCGGTTTTTCTTTGGCCTAAATAAGAATTTGTATCAATAATCTTCAGGTAATTGATAATCCACACAAAATAAAGTTTATCTTGTAAAACCCCAGACCGCATTTATGGATATATTTTCGGCAACATTCTCTTGATATATTTAATCCAATTACAGTATTCTATTTAACTGTTACTTCGCGAAGAGTACTTCTTCTCGCAGACTTGCAAATTTTTACTAAATTTCGTAAATCTCTTTGAGATACAACTTTTGGCCTTCCTGAACTTTTACCTCTAACGCCTACACTGGCAGATTTGCCGTATTTTTTTACTATATTAAAGACCGTGGTTTTTGGAATACTTAAATCATCAGAAATTTTTCGACTTGTTTTTCCCGTACTGTATTGACGAATGATAATTTCGCGTAGTTTTTGATTTGTAGATATTTAAAAAAATTAAAATTACTTACAGTAAGTCTCACTACTCAAGATATCGAGTTACTTACAAGCTGTCAATGCTGAAGTAAACAGTTTGCGACATTCGTGACGTTTATAGCAAAGCCGCCTATGATATTAATTATTTAAAAATACTTGTCCCAACATTTAGTTGTCAGGCAAATTTGTCCTTTTATGAACAAAATCCGCTACTGTAAATATGGATTGATTTACACATTCATAAAAATATTGTTAAGTTGTTTAGGATATATGGCTATGTTTATATTTAAAAAATTAAACATATATTTTTCAGTCATTTTGAAAAACCAGGGCAATAATTCCAAAATATAACCTTGTCCCAATATATAGTTGTTAGGGCTCGTAACTATTATAAAATAATTGATAAATTCAAATAATAGAATATTATTTTAAACAGTACCAAGTTGTTTTTTTACGTCCCTACTTATTTAAGTATTACATTATTGTTGATCTTGGTTTTAATATTATAATCAACAATAAATAATCTTTTTTTAGAACTGCTAATTGCGTTACATTTTTTTTATAATTTATTGAAAACTTAAGCAGCTATTCATTTTTATATCCGATAATTGTTAACTATAGAGTAGGTACTATTATTATTCTAATTGTATCTCATTGAGTATGTTTTTGATTACTATAATATAAAATACTAATACAATAATAAAAAATATGTAAGGTGTTTTTTTCTGTAGTTATGAAGATCCCGATTGTTTACATTTTGCTTGTACTTTTTGGACCAAGAAAAATCAAATTAATTTATTTTTCATACATGTTTATGCAGGGGCGGATCGTGAATTTGTGGGGCCCTGGGCTGAAACTACTTAGGGGCCTACATAAGTACTAAACTAATAGCCATATCAAAAAACTGTTTCTATAATGATATATTATTATTCTTCTTCTTTACGCGCCGTCTCTTTCGTGGAGGTTGGCGATCACATCTTCACGATTCTTGGCTTTCCTTATAAGTTCTTCAAAAGTTAGGTGAGTCCAGCTCCTGATGTTTCTCAACCAAGATAGTTTCTTCCTGCCGAGACCTCTCTTTCCTTCAATCTTACCCTTAACTATCAATTGTAAGACGTGGTATTTTTCATTTCTCAATATATGCCTTAAGTATGATGTTTTTCTTATTTTTTATTATATTGAGCAATTCTCTTTCTCTGCCTATTCTGCTGTAGACTTCGGTATTTGTGATATGTGGATTTAAGTAACATAAATGTTACTTAAATCTACGCAAGTATTAGTTGTACAAAATGCGACCTTATTGCTGTGGTAGCAATCTCTTCCAGGCAAGCTTTGGGTGAGAGAGAAACCAAAATAGTGATATTTTATAAGAATATAAAAAAACAATAAAACAATTTTATTTATTTACTTATTAGGAATTAGTAAAAGAAATTGATAGGTTGTAGTCACAGAAATTGACAGTTATTTGGTCATCACAGTCCAAGTCTTTTGTTAGATCACAATTTATGGAAAGAAGTAATAAATTATTTAATCGCTGGTTCGACATTGTTGTCCTATATTTATTTTCTACATAGGACATCTTGGAGAAGGAGCGTTCTGCTTCACAGCTAGTGATTGGCAATGTTAAAAAAATCTTTAAAATGGTATAGCAGTTAGGGAACACGTTAATAAGTTTGTTTTCATACATGAGCATAAAAATGTCACTGCAAGAGGTGTAAGACTCAGACATAGATTGGAGTAAGTACGATTTTAATTGATTGCACTCATTCACTAAATGCTCGTCTACGTCATCGGGATAGTAATCAATAATATGACGTGCAATTTCCAAATCTATGTTTTCGATATTTTTGTCTTGCAA